CCCTGCCTAAAAAAAAAAAAAAAAAAGAATCTAGGTATTGTTTTTTGTTGTTGTTGTTGTTTTTTGGCAGGTGGTGGAACCACTGAGCTAAATCTCCAGCCCTGGGCATGGTTTTCGGACTTCCCTGTGAAGGAGATGTGTGGGGTGTTCTCTCTCCTCTCCTTCCTCCCCTCCTTCTCCCCTCTCTCCCGCCCTCTTTTCCTTCCTGTCCTCCTCACCTATCCATCCCTACAGAGCCCTCTCCACTGACCGGAGCTGGTACGGCGCACAGCCTCCATCCTGCCCCCGCCCCCGTACCCAGTTTAAACACACGCTCGGTTATCACACACACACAGAAACACACACACACACACACACACACACACCGCACCCTGCTGTGGAGGATGCGTCCCCAGGGACTTCTGGATCTCCTTGCTTCCACACAGCCCTGAGCGTGAGGTGGGGCTGGGGTTGGTGGGGTTGGAGCCTCTCACTGGCCTCTCTCAGAGCAGGTGCGACTTTTCCATGCTTCTCTGACCCACTGAGAAAAGGTGCCCGGTGGGCGAACCTTGTGTCGTGTCTCAAACTTCACGCGTCTCTGCTTCCTGGGAGAAGAGAGGCTGGAGACGGTGACCGAGCCTGTAGATTTTGGCCCTTTTCTTCCATCTCCCCAGACAAACTGCAGCTTCCAGACAGCTAACGGGCACATCTCTAACAGCACTTGCTCTTTCTTTGTTTTTCTTCAGTGTTAGCCAAGTGCTGTACTTTCAGCCCATCAGCCTTTTAATGTCAGCCAGTTTTGTTCAGATTATTTTTGTTTTGTTTCCTTCCCCCTCCCCTCCCTATAGACAAAAGTTTTATTTCTGTTTTTTCCTTGCATTTTCACTTTTTTTCTTGTCCCTTCCCTCCTTTCTTCCTCCCTTCCCCCTTGTATTTTTTATTTATTTCTATGTTTTGTTTGTTTGAAAGAGGATCTTGTGATGTGACCCAGGCTGGCCTTGAACTCATGATCCTCCTGCCTCAGCCTCCCTCACAGGCACTGCCACTGTGTACTTTAATTTCTGAATGAGGTGGAGTATACGATATTAACTTATTGTCAGCTGTATCTTTCATTATTTAACTCCCTAAAGTATAAGAATTTTGAATTACTGGTTTGGTAAGATTGATTCTCTAATGTTTATTCGGTTATGAGGTGACCATCTGGTACAGTGAAGAGGACTTTGACATCAGACCTATGTTATAATAGTTATCATTTCTTTCTTTCTTTTTTATTTATTTATTTCTGAGACATGGTCACCAGCTCTGACCGGCCATGACTCACTATGTCGCCCAAGCTGGGCACAGACTCAGTGAACCTTTCGCCTGCTGGGATTACTACAGGTGTGTGCTACCATACCCAGCTACAAGTTACAATTTTTTAGGTCTTTTTTTTTTTTTTCTCCATACAGGGAATTGAGCTCAGTACCTTGCACTTTCCAGACAGGCATGGTGCCACTGAGCTACATCCCCAGCCTTCATTTTTTAGGTCTTATTGAGATGGTTAATGCTGTACAAACTGAGCTCATTGTTGCACAGAGCTGAAGAATGAAATCATGGACCAAAGGAAGAAGTTAGGGAATGTTTATTGGAAATAATGAGAAAAGTAACGTTGGTGGGCGCTCATCAGGGAGGTGACCTGGAAGTGGAATTTTTTTCAGTGTATTTTCTTAGTTTTGTCCTTTTCTAGATAAAGCACAGTGTGGGAACTTGTTTTAAACAGGTGGTCTGCAGGATTAGGGTCTAAAGAAAATGGCTGTAGCGACTCACCTGGCCGGGTGGAAGGGGACTGAGTTCATAGGAAAACAGTTACTCTGCTGGGCGAATTTCCCTGAACACCAGCCGACCTGGAATTTGGGAGGAGCTGCCAGCCAGCGTAGCACATCTGCCTAAAAACCTTCTTCCAGGGCAGGAGTCCTTATCAATCTGTGTGCATTTTGACTTTCCTCCTGTGCTTTGTTCTGTTTTTTTACATCTCTCAGCTTAACTCCATGCATGACTAGAATTAGTTTTTTTTTTTTTTTTTTGGTGCTGGGGGCTGAACTCAGGACCTTCTACCTTCGAGGCAGGTGGCAGCACCACTGAGCTAAATCCCCGGTCCTCCAGTTAGCTCTTAACTCCGCGGGTGCTGCTTTCTTTTTATCCAGCCAACTGTGCCTTGGGCTGCTGTCACCAACTACTTACTGATAGACTAACAAAACTGTAGATCACACTCTGTTCCATTAGGATGCCTTGTCTTTGGCTTGTTCCTCTAGAGTTTTATTTCTGAATTAGACGATAAAAATATTTTATTTTACTTTATTTATTTTTTCCAGTACTGGGAATTGAACTCAGGACCTTGTGCTTGTGAGGCAGGTGCGGCATCACTCAGCTAAATCCCCGGCCCTGAGTTAAATCCCTGCTCCCCCCAAATACTTTAATGGTTAAGTGGGTTGTGAATTAAAAGATTCTACTGCTTTTGGGTTCTAAGGTTGAAGGAAAGGTTAAAAAGAAAGCGGTTGGCTAAGGTAGGAAAGTATGTTTGAGTAGGTGAGTAGTCGTGAGGTCTCTTCAGTCATTAGCTTAGTAAGTATCTGTGGCTCACTGGTGCGTTACAAGCAGTGTGCCAGGGTCAGCAGGTTTGCACGGTGCACATCTCACCAGCCAGGGCCACCGCAAGGGTGCGGTAACTGCTGTGCTTGTGAAAGTTCCGGATACAGTGAGGTCGCGCAGAGGCAGGTATTGTATTTGGAGCCTCTGTGGAGCAGCTTTCCCACTGCAGGGAATCATCCTGCGTGGCAGCTTGTGGGGGGGACCGCCTTGGCTGGGACGGGGCAGGGCTGGAGGCGACTTCCAGGCCAGGCACTCACTCTGCCCAGCCCCGGCCCCACCCCGCTGCTCACTGGCTTCCCACTTCGAGACGAGACACCTGGGAGCAGAGACCTCAGCAGACTGGGACAGATCTTGCTTCCCTCTGGTTTACCAAGCTGGTCCCATGCCTAGAGTCCTCGAGAGAATCTTCTAGGTCCATTTTTGGGTGTGGCAGGCAGGGTGGGAGGAACAGAGCCCTGGCTCTTAGCAGCTGAACTTGTGTTTGGATGTTATTTGACGTGGTTGTCTGTTGGCCAACAGGTCCTTCGGCGGGAGACCCGACTCTGAGGTAAGGAGTAGTAGCCCACGGACATTTCCTTCAGTGAGAGTAAAGAGCAGCGCAAGAACCCAGGGGGCTACAGACTTCTCTTTTTCTTTTTTCTTTTGGTACTGGGGATCGAATTCAGGATCTTGCACTTGTGAGGCAGACGCAGCGCCACTGAGCTAAATCTCCAGCCCTCCTATTCTTTCTTTTTGTCTTTTGCAACTTAATTTTCTGATCATTGTCTTTCTATCTTCCCTGTTCCTCTTTAATTACCTTTCAGCGTTCTTCTCCATCACCTGTTCCTCTTCTCTCGGTCACATTTCCGAGCGCCCTTATGAAATGTTCAGAGAAGCTGTTACTTCAACTTTAGTTCCTGCTTTGTAGCCTGTGCCTGTTACCCTCTTAGTCTACCAGGAGGTCACGTGGGAATTACGTCATCTCATGAAGGGGGGCGGGGGACGGGGCGACTGTGCAACAGCTGCATGTGGTGCCTCAGGGTGGCAGGAGCCTGAAGGTGCCAGAGCTTAGGACTCAGCTATGTCTGCAGAGCCAGCACAATCCTGCACTTCCTGAGCCGAAGAGCTCCCCACTTCACTCACTGTTTTGAGATGGGCTCCTGTTCTGTTGGGCTTGAACTCTAGATCCTCCTGCCTCAGCATCCCAAGTAGCTGGGATTACCACCCTACACCACCACCTCTGGCTTACATTACTCTCTCCTCTGATCTGTCTACCAAGAAGATCCTTTGAGACTTCACCACTTGCTGAAATCTAGTTTGCGTCCCCTGAGGACTAGACACTGCGAAATGTGAAGCCAGAGGGTTAGCAGATGACACGGCGCCCTTACACACCCACACTGCAGCCCACACTCGGGGATCGTGGGGAGCTGGCCTCACAGCGTGGTGGGCAGAAGCCCTCTCTCTCCCCAGCTGGGAGAGGGACGCCGGGTGGGATCGGCCCGGCAGGCAGGTGGGACAGG